GAATTATCTAAAAAATGTTTGTTCAATTCTTTGAAGACATATTTATCATTGCTTGTTCAGGTGGGGAGTTGTTTTTGTTTCATACCTGGAGTGGAATTGGGAGAGGCCAGGACCTGAGCAGTTACTGCCTTAGCCATGGTTGACATCTGACAGGGAAAACCAGAGAAAGGGGAAGAATTCATTTGAGTCCATCACCTCCATTCCTACCTACAAATCCCTTCATCCCTCTCTACCTCTTTGATCTGCTCCGGCCTCACTTTCATGCTCAAGCCTTTAGCGACTGTAGATAACCTCCAAACCTCAATCCCCAAATCCCTCCACCTTCTCCCTCTCTATCTGTCTTAAAAAGCCTCAAGAAGACCTACTTCTTTGACCACACATACATCCCTCCTACCTTAGCCTCCATCCTCAGCTTGTTCAGTGTCTTGCCCTATCTCTGAGTTACCCCTCATGAAATGTGCTGTATAAATGCAAGATGTTGTGTGAAAAGTATAATGCTTGTGTGGTGTACACATTGTATTTACTACTCAATTGATAGTTGGACCAACATGATTCGAATAGAAAAATGATCAGACTGTAACATTAGGGAAAATATTGGAATGTTCAATTTATTGCTCTAAAAATCTGTTTCAAATAAGGCACAAAACAAAAATATTCCATTGTGCTACTGTACACACTGAGTTGCAAAGCCAGCGATAGTTTCCTTGTACCACTTCGTCATTTACTCACCATGTAGGAGACATCTATTGCCCCATAAATGTGCTCACTCTGATGTGTATCACTTAATTAACCAGAGGCTGCAAATACTCGTGAGTATGCATTTCAATTACTTTTAATTCGCCTTCAAATGAATGAGAAGCAGATCTTATCAGATATGAATTATTGGTAGCAGGATGAAGTCATCGGTGGGTTTAGGAAAATCCACAATTTGTTGTGCTATTCCCAGAATTTCTTAGTTTAAGGCACACTCAGTTAGATATGTCCAAGTGTGTGCATTTGAGATGGAATTTTCCACGTAAAATGTACGGGCCCTGTTTCAGGTTATTTGAGAACTTCACTGAATCACTTAAAAGATATAATTTTATGCAATTTTATGTCTCTGTCTCCAGACCCACTGCTGTTCTGACTGCTTGCCTGTCAGACATCAAGTCCTGGATGAGCTCTATCTTGTTCCAATTAAATGTCGACAAGACTGAGGTTCTCCTACTTGGCATCAGTTGTCACCTTATCACCTTAGGAATTGACAGCATGAATTTGCAAATATGTGGACACTCCACCTTGCAGAGCCAGTGCAGAACCTTATGCAACTCCCAATCCTCCTTTAAACCCATATCTATGCTCAGCTTTCCCCCATCTCCTTAATATTGCCCGGCTCCACCATTACTTTTTCGGCCGCCGAGGCCCTAAACCATATATTTATTACATCCAGACATGACAAAACCAATGCTCAGCTCATCGGACTACCCAGGTTTTCACTACATAAGCTGCAGAGTATCCAAAACTCTACGGCCAATGCCATATCCCACAGTGGGATCCACAAACCTATTCTCACCCCCACTCCATTGGTTTTCCATCCCTCAGTTGGTCAAGTTCAAGATCCTCGTCCTCACTATCAAACCCCTCCACGGCCTTGCCCCACCCTACTTCAGCGACCTCCTCAAACCATACTGACCAGGCAGCTCCCTTCACTCACCAGGAACTGGCCTGTTTCGTGTCCCCCATGCTACTCATCCCATCATTGGTGGATAAGCTTTTAGCATACCTGCCACCACTCTGGAACCCTTGGACTTGACCTCTCCCTCACCAGTTTCAAGGTCCATCTCGACCTTCCTCTTTGACCATGCTTTCAGTCATCTTTCCCCTCTTCACCTCCCTTGGCTCCAAACTTGAGCTTGGATGGCAAACTAGAACTGCCAAGTGCCCCTAGGTCAGGTGCCTTAGGATGGTGGAGTCCTGTAGCTCAATGGTTAGAGCACTTGCCTCGCAAGCAAGAGACCTGGATTTGATTCCTGGCAGGGCAAACCTTAGGCAAGTTTCCTTACTCAACACGCCTGATAGTAATCCCTCAAGAAAAAAAAATAAAATTGGTGACTTCAATCCACGACTGTTTGTGGGACACTGCTGTGCGCAATTGACTGCCGTATTTTGTGCACAAATATACAGCCAATTCACTTTACAGTATATTCTGTGAAGAGCTTTGAGACATCTAGAAGATGTGAAAAGCACTATATCAAATGCAAGGATTATTATTATTATTATGTCCTCCCTATGTGAAAGGTATTTAAATGTAAATTGCAGTTGTATTGTTGTAGTTATGTAGCAACGCCCCAAAACCCACCATGTTGCTGACAGAGCACCGAGCTGGGAATTTGGAGCTGAAGGCTTCTTGGTGATGTACCAGCTGCAGACTCCGCCTGTATAACTGCAACTGTGGTTGCAAAAGGAACTTCGACGCTCTGACCATTGCTGGAAGAGAATCTGTTGTGTAAAATAGATCTTCTTTCCGTTTCTCTGGCAGCTGCAATTTATTTTCTTTTTCCCTTCTGGGAGGTCAGTGGTGACTCAGCCACAGAAAGAATAGGTTTGCACATTGGTTCAGGGAACAGGATGCAAGGTAGGGGGTACAAGAAGGTCAGAGTGGTTCGTTGTCTTTGTAAACTATAATAATTCTTTGAGAGGGGAGATAAAAATGAAAATTGGAAATTAGTGGTTAGATATTATTCAAAAGGGTTTGGGACACAACCTGCAAAGCTCATTTATATCTCGAGCCTAACAGCTCTCATCCGGAGATGTGACTTGATACCAGGTCATTCCATTTCATTCCTGTACTCAGTGAGTCTCACCCCCGCTAGCAGAGCTATCAGCAAAATCTTTACCCTTGTCCTGCCTTTTAAAATTATTTAAACTTATTGCTATCAGCTGTCTGCAGAGTCTGCTGAAAGCAACAGAAGATTTCATTTAAATGTCATTAGTATACCCCCTCAGAAACTCAATGTTATTGACTAGACAAGCCTGTGTCAATCACTGATCCCTAGGCCACCAGAAATTAAGCTTACACTCCACCTGTATACAATTTACCAGAACTGTTTGGAGATGTCCAATTAAGGAGCGAGTGGGGCTTTGAGTATTTTTATTAAATGTGAAATGTTTCTTGAGACTGAAGCCTCCCCATGCCACAGAGATGTTTCTTTTTTTAAAAATGATCCCCCCCACCCTCTCCCATGTGGAGCGTAGATAGTGAGTGATATCAGACTACTTGACTGCAGGGTGACAAGCGGGGATTCACTGCAAGCCCTGGTCCTGCTGACTGCAGAAGTGTGTTTTGAGCAGGGGCTGCTGGACAATGAAGAGAAGCTGGAATTCATGGTGATTTCTCTCACTCTCTACCGGGAGTTACATAAGAGTTACATATAGCACAGAAACAGATCAGTCAGCCAAACTAGCTTGTGATGGTATTTATACACCACCCAATTCCGCACCCCTCCTAGTCCCCTCACCTATACCACTCTATACTCTTCTCCCTTGTGTATGCATCAAGTTTTCTCTTAAATACATTCATGCTATTTGCTTCAACCACAGCCTCTAGCAATGAGCTCCACAAGGTTGAGGGAATGCTGAGGCCCAGCTGAGATCAACTGACTACACAGGACAGGGATCAATGCTGGAGCCTCTATCGAGTTGTATGGGTTTCACACTGCATCAGTTGCTTTTACCAACTGAACTACCAGAAATACAGAAGCCTCAGGTGTATTTCAGGAAATACAGAAGAATACCACTTACCCAGATGCTGGATAGCTCGATGTCCCTTTTTTGGGTTTGATGTGGAAAGCCCATATTGTAACAAATTTGTATTGGATCAGTATGAAGTGGAAAGATCTGATCCAGTAAGTATATAGGTAGACAGGGAGAGACACACAGACAGACCTGATACCTGCACTATTGGCATATCCAAAATGGGGTTGGTTCCTATTAGTGTTGATATTGGATTCTCTAATGTACTCTAAAATAATTTTACTGCTATAATTTATGGTAGCTGAAAGTTCAACTGAGTCAGTCCTATTGCTAATAAGGCTGTATTCCGTTGATAGAACAGAAAGTTGAAATATAAATATGGATTAATATTAAGTCTGAAGCTAATTCATGAATCGACAAAATACAAAATTAAAGATTAAAAAATGATCCTGTTTCTTGTATTCCTTTGTAGAATACAACCATAGTAATTACTACCAGTTTAGTACATGCACCACAATATATTCACATTGTACATAAATCAATATGTTTCATTCGGTTATGTGTCATTTGTAAATCGGGTATTGATGAGGTGTTGACATAAAGCTAATTAATCTGACGCCTCACTGTAGCATTCATATGTTTCCTTAATTATGTTGTTCATCTTAGTCCACCAGCATTGGCTGACAGTCACCATGGCATGGATTATGAAGTGAATTGACTGTACGTGTAACTTTCTTGAATTGAATGAAAATGACGAAATATTCCTTCAGCCTTGTAGAGGATAAGCATCAAAATGATTCTTGAAATACTAATCATCTATTTTGAAAGTGCCGTATTTTTTCTGCATGATTCCACGCTCTTATTAGAGGTACATCACAGTGTGAAAGATACATAAGCAAAGCAATATATTTTACAAGACATTCTCAATTCTGGCTCAAACTCATAAATAATTATGCAAAATTCTATTCTCCTTCAGGGAAAGGTGAGATGGGTCTCCTTGGAGCTAAACAGGATCCCAGGTGACATGCTTGGCAATTGAATGTTGGAATTGAGTCAACCCTCTGTGATGGTCTTGGTAATCGAGTTCCTGAACCAGGTGGGTCTGCAGTACTCCAGGGCACTGCTAATGACAGATCAGCCAGCTTGGATCATGAGCAGGACTTGGCGGGGCAGACAAGTTCTGCCCATGGTCACTGTTGGCTGGTATTCTTCCCAATCAGATTCTGTTAACCCTGCAAGCAAAGCCGTAACATATAGGATGGTCCTACCTGATTTAGATATATTTATGCATGGTGATCGGTTTCCATATGTGTCAGACACCTGGTTGAACAAAGAAAAATTATGCAAAGTTTGATTTGTAACTGTAGCCATCAAAACAATGTGACTTTATTATAGTAACACAATAGTTATTGTCCAAAAATTATAGTGGAGTTGTAATGGGGAGCTTTGTTTTCACTGCACACGTGCACAGAAAGTAAATCAGATTGCTGTGCTAAAAATAGTTGACTTCCAGGTCATCGGGTAATGCTGAAATAACTTCCTGTATTATATGCAGTAAGTATCTTTGATCTGATAACATGGCAGGTGTTTTGAAGTTAGACAACAGAATTTGAAGCTTTCTGCATGAATTTTGCAGCTCGCTGCATGAATTTTGAATTCTTTATGGCAAATAAATTTCAGGGTTCCACAACCCAATTGCGCAGATTGAAAATCCATTATCTGCTCGTTTTACTTTTTTTAAAATATCAGAGTACCTTTATGGTTTTTGTGACAAATTATTTCATCCCAATTTGGGACTTTGAGCTCACAGTGTAGACTTACAGCAAGATATTGAATAATTTCTGAATTCTCAGAAGTGCCATCCTTCAGATGAAACATTAAACCCAGGACAAGTCTTTCTCTTCAGTGGATGTTAAAGATCCCAGACACTGTTTGAAAAAGGGAGCCTTGGTTATCGAAAACTATAGGACATAATTTGTAAATTAGCTGCCATGTTTGCCTACAATACACAGACACTATACAGTTGTAAAACACTTTAAGGCATTATAGGTACAATATCAAATGCAAGGATTATTGTTATGCTTGTGCTATTTTCGTTTATTTTGTTAATAAATCCAGACTTGTCCTCCAGCAGTCAAGAGCAGTGGTGTTAGGTGACACCTATCCTATGATAATATTAATAATATTAATAATATGAGCAGTCTGATCAAATAAACCTTTCCAACATTAGTTTTTTTTCAATAGTTATGATTTTGTCACTATTTTCCAAATGTAACACTGCAAAGTTGACATTCCACCCATCTCTACAAATGAACACACATCCATTTGCAGTCTTTTATTTCAAATCCTTTAATTGTTTTTCTCCTCCATTATTCTCATGTCCTCTTAATAATAATAATAATCCTTGCATTTGATATAGCGCTTTTCACGTCGGGAGGACGTCCCAAAACGCTTCACAGAACACACTGTAAAGTGAATTGACTGTATATTTGTGGGTGAACGTGGCAGCCAATTGTGCACAGCAATGTCCCACAAACAGTCGTAGATTGAAAATGACCAATTTATTATTGTTTTGGGTTTTGGAGGGATTATTATTAGGCTCTGTGTGGAGTAAGGAAACTTGCCCAAGGTTTCGCCCTCTGCCTGGAATTGAACTCAGGTCTCTCGCTTGCAAAGCGAGTGCTCTAACCACTGAGCTACAGGACTCTTGTAATTTAAACTACAAACAAATAGACAAATCTCAAGGATCTGATAGGTTCTAGCCCAGGGTATTAAAAGAAGTAGGGGTGGAAATTGCAGGTGCGTTAGTTATAATTTTCCAAAGCTCTCTATATTTGCCCTTGGATTCAAAAACTGCAAATGTCATTCCATTATGTAAGAAGGGAGGGAGAAACCAGGTAACTACAGACCTGTCAGCTTAACCAATTGTGGGGAGGTTACTGGTATTTCTCATCAGGGACAGAGTCACTGAGCACTTGGACAAGTATGAGCTAATCAAAGAGCGTCAGCATGGATTTGTGAGGTGTAGGTCATGTCGGACAAATCTAATTGAATTTTTTGAGGAGGTCACGCGCGTGGTGGATAAGAGAGTGTCTATGGATGTCATCTAAATGGACTTTCAGAAGGCATTTGATAAGGTTCCACACAACAACAAAAACAACAAAATGACACTTGTATAGCACCTTTCAACTCAGGAGGACATCCAAGGGGCGGGACAGACAGAGTTACGGACCCGAGCTGAGGGTCGGGGTGGGGGGAGGGCAGGAGAGGAAGAAAGGAGATCGAAAGCATGGTCGAAGAGGAGGGTCTTGAGGTGGGTCTTGAAGGTGGCGAGGGAGGGGACGAGACAGTGGGACTGCGGGATGGAGTTCTTAAAAGTGGATTATTAGCAAAAATGAAAGTTTATGGAATCAGAGGTAATGTTGCGATATGGCTTGGTAATTGGTTGGGAGGCAGGAAACAGAGAGTAGGGATAAAGGAGAGTTTGATATCAAAATTTGCAGATGACACAAAGTTAGGAGGCACAGTAAATTGTGTAGATGGGAGCAGGAAGTTACAAAGGGAGTTAAGTGAGTGGGCAAAACTGTGGCAGATGGAATTCAATGTGGGAAACCATGAGATCATCCATTACGGATCCAAAAATAGTAAAACAGAATATTTTCTAAAAGGTGAGAAACTAAGGACTGTTTTACCCTGTTTCTGGACCTACAGACTGGATGCTGTTAATTATTGTGAGTCCTGTAGCTTGGTGGTAGAGCACTCGCCTCACAAGCAAGAGACCTGGGTTCGATTCCTAGCAGGGCGAAACCTTGGGCAAGTTTCCTTACTCCACATGCCTGATAATAAACCTTCAAGAAAAAAAACAATAATAAACTGGTCACTTCAATCCACGACTGTTTGTAGGACACTGCTGTGCGCAATTGGCTGCAGCATTTCGTCCACAAATATACAGTCAATTCACTTCACAGTATATTCTGTGAAACAGTATATTCTGTGAAGTGCTAGAAGACGTGAAAAGCGCTATATCAAATGCAAGGATTATTATTTATTATTATATATATTGTTCTGGTTTCTTGCAATACATTCATGTGATACTAAGTTTTCCTTTGCATGAATCCCTTCTTATCAATATGCTTCATGCTTCATCATGTTTTGCTGTCTTTTATTTTATACTAGATTATTGTATCCACATACTTGCTCAACCTAAAGTCTGTGCAGTTGTGTATATTTATTAACCTTTGTGCCCATGTTTGAAATGTACACTGCAAAGCATTCTTATGTGAAAAATGAAAAAATAAAATGTTTTAATAAAAGGGTTGGTGGAAGGAATATCATTTTCATCTTTTTTCCATTAAAGTGTTCGACAGGATTTCATTAATCTGTAAAATCAATACCTAATTGGAACATATTAAAATGGAATTTTGTCATCTATTTTATACTGCTATCAAATCTTTAGTTATCAAGTCTTCTCTTTTATGTAAGTGAATCTATTACACGAGTCTGGTTTCCATGAGTTAGCCCACTGAAATGTGTATGAAACAAATAAACTACAATTACGTTTGTAATGCATTGTTTGCCATCTTGATAATCAAGAATGTTACAGTGTAGGTAGATTTTAATGCCCATGAATTCCTTTCAGTAAAACTCTTCACCTCATTAAATGTTGATCTACCAAATACACAGTTACTACTCTTCACAGTAAATATCCTGTGATGTGCTTTGAGACATTTTGACAAATAGTTAAGGCACTATATGAAATGCAAGGATTATTATCTTATTTTGTTATCTAGAAATATCAAAATATTTGTTCATGGAACAGAATACTTCAGCAATCTACATGATTCATGGTCAAATATAACAGTAATATAAATAATATTGATTTGATTGTATCACATTAGATGCAGATAGATAGCTTGGAGTGAAATTCAGAATTGAAAGTATTAAGAACTGCAAACAATAGCATTATTTAATGAATTCTGGGACGCTTACAATACACCTTCACTTTGGGGGTGAAAACAGCTGTTTTTTAAAAAAAATTCAATGTGATAATTAGCACATCAAATCTGTTTACAGATATCACAATTTTTAATCCTTTGTGTAGACTCCTGAAAAAACAGTAAACATTTTGCATTCCTAATGTTTGCCATCTGACTTGACCGCGCTTTGACTTTAAGAGTAAACATATGCAATAATGCTGGCAGTAATGATAGGTAAATGTTTTTGTTTCTCCCCTCCCCCTGCATTTTTTACCGCGAGTCACATTCAGTTATAAACATTGAGGCAGGGTCTCATTTCTGCATCTTTAAGCTTAATACCTCGCTTGATCCCAACAGATTTCCTACAGTTGAATGTGAACAAGACTGAGGCCCTCCTGATTGGCTCGGGCCAGCGCCTCAGCACCTCAGGCTCTGGCAACATCAACCTCCATGTTTGCACACTTCAACTCACCAAACCAGTCAGGAACCTCGGTGTCTTGTTTGACCCTCAACTGTCTTTTCTCCCCCACATTCAAGCAATGACCCACTCTGCCTTCTCTCACCTCCGTAACATCGCCCGACTCCACCACTACCTCACCCCTCAGGCCGCTGAAACTCTTGTTCATGCCTTCATCACCTCCAGGCTCTACTATCCAAACGCCCTGCTTGTCGGCCTTCCCAACTCCTCCCTCCACAGGCTGCAGATAATCCAGAACTCTGCAGCCAGTGTCCTCTCCCACACCAAACTCCACGACCCCATCTCTCCCACTCTCGCCCGACTCCATTGGCTCCCTATCCTTCAGAGGATCCAGTTCAAGATCCTGGTCCTCACATACAAAGTCCTCCATGGCCTCACCCCACCCTACCTTTGCGACCTCCTAACCCCCTACCAACCCGTCCGTTCCCTCCTCTCAACCGGCTCTGGCCTGCTCCACGTCCCCTGACCCACCCGCCCCACCATTGGGGGAGAGCCTTCAGCCACTCTGCCCCCAATCTCTGGAATTCCATCCCCCAGTCACTCCGCCTCACCCCCTCCTTAGCCTCCTTCAAATCCCGCCTCAAGACCCTCCGCTTTGACTATGCCATCGGCCACCCCCTTCTCCTCCCCTTCCTTCCCCTCCAACCCCAACTCGGGTCTGAAATACTGTACTCTGTCCAGCGCCTTGGGATGTCCTCCCGACGTGAAAGGCGCTATACAAATGTAATCTTGTGGCTGTTGTTCTTTTGCAATTGAATAATAATCCTTGCATTTGATATAGCGCCTTATCACGTCTTTGAGTCATTTCAAAGTACTTCACAGTAAATACTGTAAAGTGAACATAAGAACATAAGAAATAGGAGCCC